CTTACAGATAAAAAATGTAAAATATTAATAAATCTCTTTTTTTCTGTTCAGATGATAATTTTAGACAGTATCTATAAGGAGGCTAGGCAAAAAAGGCTAAGAAACAAGTACCTTTCAGAAGGCTAAATAAAACTATGTTAGTGCAAAGTTGAGTGGAAGAAAGAAGTGTGGTGAAAAGCAAACAGGGAAAGATGCAGCTTTGATCCAGTGGAAAGTAGAATAGAAAAAAAGGGGGAGATCCTTTGGGGGAGATTCCCAAGATGGAGCTTCAAGAGACGTCACACATTGATGCATGAGGATAAGGATTACAACAGTCCCATTCCTTGCAGGGACAATAGCAGAAGCTCACCACCTCCTTTGCCCACTGCAGTTTGGTTTTATCAAAAACCATATATATATACATTATATATACATATATATATATATATATATACATTATATATATATTTGATAAATATAATTTAGGAGTTTCAGTTTTTGAACTAACATACCGAAGAAGATTAACTTTCAATTATATTTTTGTTTACTGAGAATCACTTGTATATCAGTTATTTCTAACAAAGTAGCAGTTCATATACAAATCATATATATAAGTAGCTATTTCCTGTACAGCACATGTGTGGCCCCATGAGTAAAAAGCTGGATGAAACCTGTCAAATACTCGCTCTGCTTGTCGAGTCACAGAGCCGACTTGAATGCACCATGTTTTTGTACGTTATTCTGCAAAAAATGACTAATTGCTATAATGTGTGCAGAACGCTGTATATTTTCACACTTTGGGGGTTACTTAAAAATGACAAAAACAAATGAGGTTATTACACATCAATACACCCTCACATTACAACTTCCCCGTCTTCTCCAGTCTTGCCTTGTCTTACCTTGGTGTCAACAATGGAGCACGCAATTTGTTTCACATAAGCCAGATCAGCAGTCTGGGGCAAAAGAACAGATTCCCTGGTCAGACCAATCTGGATGATGAAGGAGACACCAGCTGGAGTAGGAACCATTGAGGGCATCATCCCACCAGGAATGTGTCCTGCTGTGAGGTCCATCACTGGAAAAGGAGTCTGAGGAGGCATAGAGGGCATGGATATAGGGGTCCCCTGCTGCATCACCGCTGAGCCGGGTGGAGAGGCCCCTATAGGAGGGAAGAACACCTGGGACATTGCCCCTGAGGGCATGCAGGGGCTCGCATTAGCCATTTGGAGTCTGTTGGTTGCCTGAAGCTCTCAGCATACACAGAGACAAGCACACACCCAGGTGCAGTGAGGGGTTCTAGAAAACCACACTCATTCAAACTGTTCTAGTGGGTGAGAGGAAATGTGGGTATCCACAAACTGAGCAGAGTCCCTGTTCCCCCCTGACTCCTCGTCCACCTCCTCCAGTGGATCAAGGGAGAAATCCTTATCCAGGAAGCAGTTTCAGCTCTTCTCATACGCTCATTTCATGTCGCCTGACTTCTCCAAGTCTTCAAGCATGTCAAGCATGAGAGAAGGAAAACCACACCGAAGAGAGGAGCAGCTGCCTTCTTGTCTGTTGTCCCACCACCACCTTCCTCCTTCAGCTCCGCTGCTCCAAAGATGTTGCTCTGCAGGGTAGAAAGTCCAAACTTGGTTGTGAAACTCCCCTAGCTGTGAGTGAGAGGAAGAGAAAGAGAGAGAGAGAAAAAAAACAATGGCAAACTTTGTATAAGTGAGCTCCTCCAGGGCTGAGTAACAAAATGGCTTCCTTGAACAGGAAACCGTGAGAATAAAGACCAACAGACTGCACTCCTTTTACAAGTCTTGCCCTGTTTCACTTTCAAACCCAATACAGGCTTTTTTTTTTCTTTTGCGAAAAAACAGACAGAGCTGCCTGATGTGAGGGTACCTCCCTCTTACCCTTCCTCCTGCCCTCTCACCGCAGCTAAGAAGGAAGTAAAAATGACTGACACTACCTGAAGCCAATAGACTTCCAGTAAGTTCCACCTTCTGACCCCTTGCTCTCAACATTTCCCCTCCTGTTCCTCTTTCCCTCTCTCCCCCTCCATGGTTTAGGGCTTATTCGGCTTGTTTGCTCCCTCCCTCAGAAGAGGTCAGCACAGATCTCCTTACAATGCCTGAGGCGAGAGGGCAGCTCTGCTCTCAATAACCCTCCCATCACTTCCTCGTCCTCCTCCCAACTAATGCCTCATTCTCCCTCCACAAAGGTGTCCCTCCTGCCATTGGTGGGACATTGCTTATTTCAATTTTGTTTGTTTATCAGACACACCTCACCCACTTCAGAGCAGAACCACACCCACTACTGAGTTGTTTACATCCTACTTTGTTGACAGATTTCATTAGAACAAGTTAATCTGACAGGCAAAACTGGAAAATGTGAGTTTAAGTCTAAATCTTGGTGAATAGCTATCACCAAGTCTATGACTTATAAGTGGTTATTAATCATCTACCACAAGTTTTCTAAATCAGGACAAAAAAATGGGAAAAAAAATCTAACAAAGTTCAATTACAATGTTTGCTGTATAGAATACCTCAATGTAACAGCAGCTGCATGTGTTTACTCTTTCCACCGTCAGTCACAAGAGGGCGCTGTTCTCTGTAGCTTCCCATTTAAACCACAGATTGTTTTTAAAAAAAGTGGTATTGATACATTTTATAGGGCAAGCATGCATGTAAAGCAGAAGCTTGACAATTTTTTAAAAACATGCAGATTTTCTCTCACAATCTTCTTTTCAATTATGCCTTTTTTTCTTTTTCTTTTTTGCATGAGAACAAGTTTCAAGTAGATTTTTAAACCAGTTCAAATACTGTAAATGTCAAGTGTTCTTTACATCTATTAAATTCAAGTGATTCCAGCTGTATTTAGTACCACACTTCTTGGACAGAAAGAAAGTCCTAAGCTTCATTTAAATGTACTGGGTTCCTGGAATGGTCTTAATAATAAACAGTTTTTTTTATAGTTTTAATGAAAGTGCTTTGGGAAATGTGGTCCAGCGGTAAATAAAGTGATAAATTAACATCAGCTCACTTCCTCCATCTCTAAACATGTTTCACTGCTTGTTTACGATGACCTTTCTGTTGAAATACCCGGCTGTGATAAATGTTTAGCTACCCAGGTGTAGATGAAAACAGACGTCATTTAGACGTTTTTTAGGTTAAATGTAGTCGGTCCTGTCTGGCGATGTGGCAATAAGAATAATTGTCTTGATGCCAAAAAGAGCCCAACAGATTTTACTTTCACAAGTGGAGCAGTACGGCTATCGCCACAGTGTTTAGCTTCATGCATATAAATTGCTTTATTATAATTATGCAGGGAGTTTTACAGATTATATGGACACTGCAATGTAAATAGAATAGAAGAGGAAAACAGAAGAGAAAAAAAGGAGAAAATATGAAAGAAAGAGGAGATAAAAAGGAGATCATGATAAAACATTTTCGGTCTGCTTCATCATCTGCAACGAGATGCAAAAAGAACAGCAAAACTAACAGACATGGAACCAGACATACAATAAAGTAACACCTTGAAACTATCGCTGAAGTAGTATTATTTAATCTGACATGTACTCTGTGTTACCTGAAGATATGAATGTCTTGATTTAGCAATGTAGATGGTATGTAAATCCCTTTATTGTACCACAATGGGGAAACTAACTCTCTGCATTTTAACCTATCCCCTTGGGAAGCAGTGAGCTGCCATTGTGTGGCACCCGGGGAGCAGAGTGGGTTTAAGGATCTTGTTCAGGAACTCAGAGTTGAGGCTGTGGGGAGCAAACCAGGTACTTGCAACCTTCTCAGAGCACAAGCGCTCTGCTCTAACCACTAAGCCAACACTACCCAATTTGAAAATTGGGCTGTTTGGTCGGTCTGATTATGTCCCACTTTAGTCCGACTAAAGACGTCGAAAACTGAGTTTTTTCAAAAAAAAAGTAAGACTTTTCACCTTTTAACTAAATGTAGACATTTGGAAATAAATCATGTCATTTTTTTCAAATTTTTAACATATTTCTGCTCAGCAGGGAGGTAAGGTTAGAGTTGAAAAGCATTTTTCTTCAGTTTCTGCAAATGACCAACACCACTGGCAGAGTTCCAGATCCCCACGATTCCACCACTGCTATGTATGCGATTGGAAAAGTTTGCCTTTCTCAAGTTTGAAAGCACACCAGCTATAATAAATCCATTCACAAGGTATTTGATATTCCCTTTATACATTATACCCTTTTACAGCTTAAATTTGTCTCCCTTGGTTAGTGCCCTGTTAGTCCATGGTGATGTGAATGTCTCTTATCTCTTAAAAGTGACACCGGTGTTGGCTTGAGTTGTAACATTCCTTAACGAAAGCTTGGAAAAATGTATAATATAAATATATTTGATTATCTTAAACTACAGTGAATTAGAGATATGCTTATAAATCAACAGTTGTCCTGAATATATATTCAATGAGTTCCTTAAATGTTCTGGCTTTCCATTCTTTCTGTAAAGAATATTTATTGCCCTGCATCAGGTTTTTATTTTTTAAGTCACTATAAAGTATTGAATTAATTAGCAGGAATGGTAGCATATAGACTGAAACAATGTCACCAAAAATTAAGTTATCAATAGAGGAAAAAAGAATAAACTCATATTTTACCATAATTCAACAGAAACAAAAACATTAAAAAAATGAAACAGTTCTTATTTTACTGTACAAAATTTTTATTTTTCTTCCTTAATGACATACAACAGGTGACCCCCGTAAACAAAAAAAGATTTATTTGATACGAGCCAGAATGCGGTTCAAAAATATATAAGACAAAATCAATAAAAAGCAGGTCTCTCATCCCTTGTAGTTAGAGGAAATTGTTGGAATACAGCTTTATATGATGTACAAAATATCACACAGTGATAACTTGCTAATAAAAAAATAAAAACACACAGAAACGGGAGTCCTTTACCTTGGCCTCTGACTGGTGACAGATTTTCCACATATTTTCAGCATTTTTTTCTCATTTTTTCTTTTAACCATTTTTGCCTTTTTTTTCCTTTTTACAGGTTTTACATCATCTTCATCATTATCATCATCCACAATTGTGTTTTATACTTAGCAAGGAAAATGAGTCACTTATGATACTACAGCATTCTGAAATCGTAATAATCATATTTATATTTAAAAAAATGAAATGCAAGAAAGAAAGCAATGAAATGATAGACATTTACAGCACATAATGGTGAGCCTACTTATCATCTACAGCCTGTTTCCGATTTCTTAATACGTCGCTCTGATTTGTCTTAATTCGCTCAGATGGACAGGAGCTTTCACTTCAGGTGAAGAAACCACCTGTAAACCTTTTCTGCACCCCATCTGCTCATTTCTACACTAAGCATTCACTTTTAGATGTAGTGCAAGATGGAAGTAAATAGTTAAGTGTAAAAACAGAACACTATGACCTGCTGAGGATCATATCTATCATTTGTTTTTCTGATGCATGTTAAACTAACAGCAGTGACATGTTCTTTAATCTCACACATCTATACAACACCCTGTTTGGACAAAAAAATATACAGATTAGTATTCAATTCCAGCGTTGCAAAACACAAACAAAATTGTGACCCTGTTTAATTTTAGGGGTCTGTTTAAATATTCTCCACTAAGGGCTCCTTGGTAAAATGTAAAGTTCACCTTAATCTAATAATTATGCAATGTTTTAACTGTTTTTTTTTTTTTTTAGAAAACCATTCCTAATCTAATCTGGCAGGCTCCGTTTTCTGGATTTTAGAGAATCCACATCACATCTGAATGCCATCTTGTCGTGATTCATCAACATCTTTGTTTAGCTTGTTCAAATTAAAAGCAACCAATATTGTCTTCTGCAAACAGATTGTACACATTTAAATGCAGAAAGGTATTAGTAGAGATTTTTGTAAAAGCAGCAACTGAAGAGACAGAACCATTAAAAGCCAGGAGATGTCTAGGTTTTCCCCGGTCGAATGATTTGTTTGAGAGAGTTTATACTTATTACAAGAACTTGGGGCTTTTAATGATCTAATTTTAAAGAAAATAATTAGGAAGGATAAGTTTGAATCTATTGAGAACATTCCTATACAGTATCTAAGATAGCTATTCATATAATGACCCCTTCGGAATCTGCAGAGAAACCAAACTATCTTCAAATTTCCAGCATAACTTTTACCATAAAATACAAACTTCGCTGAAAATATCTGGTTTCTCTGAACAAACATGATTAGACCCGCTCTGGAAGTTTGATGTCCACCTTTCTCATTTTCAATGGGTTTCCCGATGTCTACCATCTATTTATTTGAGGCAAACCTGAACATAATTAAGGAGGTCCTATTTTATTATTCTGCTGAATAGAAAACTGCCCCACAGCATGATGCTACCACATCCATGCTTGACAGATGGGTTAGTGTTCATGCTTTTAAATTCTTGAAGGGTTGAATTTTAGCCTCTTTTTCACCGATTCCCTTTCCTTCATATAAAACTGTGTTCAGGGTGAACACTGACACCTTTAAAATGAAGCACCATCTTCCAGTGTGTTACTTTCAGAACTGGAAAATCTCAGATTATAAAATTTGCTTAAAAGCCAGGTCCATCACAGGAAACCAACCAAATGAAATAAACTTGCGATCAAGTATTTAGTCCCAATCATACTGTTAGTTTGTTGATAACAAACAGATAAAGGTGGTCACATTGTCGTTTGCAAAGGGATGTTTACCAACACATTCTGTGGGGATGTGTGTGTTTTCAGTCTATATTTGTCATTTTAATCTTGTGTAGAACAAAGAAAATCCCAAATGAATTGAAACCCCTGCACCCAATATCTGTAAAAAAAATAAAAATAAATAAAATAAAAACAAATCACTAAAATTATCTTTTAAAAGTAAAGTTTAAATTTATCATTAAAAGCCCCCAAAAGTATATAAGTCAACATTCCTCAAAGCATGCCTCTACAGGAAGCTGAAACTCATCTTTGTGTCATTAGCCCCTGTGAAGGTAAAACAAAAAGGTTAATGACTTCTGGCTGTTCTAAAACACTGAAAACCATGAATAAAACAAACAATAACCCCAAACAAACTAAAGCCACCTTCTCGGCATCAGACCTGCACATTCCTCAGGCCTGAAACAATCAAAACCGTTCACATTCCTTAAATCAAAACATTAACAGCGACTGGTCACAGTCAATGGAATGACTCAACCAAAACAGCCTAAAAAGTGACAACAATCTCACAGAAACACAATAACCAGGTCCCTGATTCAGACTCAAGACTGATGAGGTCTTTTTGTAGCACCATGATTTAAATAGTGCATTCACAAACACACACACACCCACACACTCCACTGTACAGTAAAAAGCACCAAACGGCAGCATCTGTGCCATTTGTAGAGAGCAAACAGGTCAGGCTCCCGCTGCTACAGCTTCCTGATTTTAGCCGTACTTGTAATCTCTATCGTCAGCCTGTAAATGTAGTCTGAGATCATCAGTCTGCTCGCTGTAAAATAATTTGTGTTGTTTCTGGTGGGAAGTGTTGCCTTTAAAGGGCAACACACACAAAAAGACAGAATCTAAAGACGCAGACACAGAGGAATTAAAAACGGGATGAAGTCAAATTATGTCATTTAAAAATTAAAGCTATTCATTTACTGCTTAGTGCCCCCCCTCCCCCCATCTTGTATATATATTACATAAAACAGTTAAACATTCTCCAATTCGAAATATGAAACCAAACAAACACACTCTGCCCAGAGTCTTTGGAATGTGAGACATCGATTCCTAAAGCAAAGCCGGGATCAGGTGTTCCTTGTGAATACTTGCAGCCGTTGCTGCGTTACGTCATACCTACTACTGTGTGTTCGCCAGAAGCACTTCCTCGTCGAACGAAGATCAGAAATGATAGGCGGCAGTGCAAATGTGTTAGTGAAATGTGGGTAGTGTGTCAGCAGCAAGAGCGCACCGGCATTATACACAGGGTGGATTGTAATAAAGATAGGCAGAGGAGAGAGGACAAAAAAAGAAAGGAGGGTGTAGTGTAGAAAAGTGTTGTTTTTTTTAAATATGATTACTTGAAAACAGAGCAGCCATAATTCTTAGGTTGTAAAAAAAGCAGTACAAGATATGATTAGTATTACAAGAAGTCACTGAGGCATCAGAACTGTGGAGGGGGGGAGAGGGGGTGGATGTCCTGTGGTGACGACCCAGCCAGTGGGCTGCAGGACGGGTGTGTGTCTTTGTGTGGGAGAGGGCAGGAGAAATCGGTCCACTGTCGTCTTCAGCCTCTTCTTCCTCAGTTGTGGTTGAAGGACACTGAATGCAGAATCAGACAGACATTGAAAAATGTTAAGAGGGGTGAGCACAAACTACAAAAAAAAAAAAACAATAAAAAAAATATTTCAGTGCAGACAGTTTTGATCTGATAGTAGTCTCTAAATATTCAGCCATTTGTTTTAGTAAATATTTAGAAAAAAAACACAAAAAAATATGTATTTTAGTAATTAAGTTCATAATGTGTCATTAATCAGACTGATGTATATCGTTTACTCCTGATCATTTTAGTGATTATAATTAAAAACAAAATAAAATCCCAATCTCTTAGTGATCAGAAAACCTGAATACTACATAAACCCAAAACCAGCAGACCGTCACTGACACCCAGAACATGGATGAAAGGACACTGGAGTGGCCTTTTAAAAGAAGCTGGCCTTGAGAGCAGAATCCAGGCAAATTAATGGGTTAAGTGGAAGGTAAAGGTGCGGTATGAAGCACACCTATTTCCATGGAAATGTTGAAGCACTGCAAACTTACCTTTGCTGACAAGCTTTTACTAGTATTTTATTTCAAAGCTGCATTTTGCCCCTGCCAAAAGTAAAAGTACCTGTTCCTTTGACCGTCAGTCAGATTGACTGACCAGGAACAAGTTTTATACATCGGCCATAAAACTGACTATTAAATGAGTTAACAGCCTTGTAGTTATTACCATTCAAATGATTTAAAACCATCCAAAAAGAGAGCTGTAAACCTACACAGTACTTCAGTAAGATGCAAAACATCATTTGGATAAGTTGTTTTCACATTTTAATAAGAAGAGATTTGAAAGTTGGCAAACGTTAATTAAACCGACAGATTGTTCTAAACTTTTACATCTCAGATAAAAAGAGGAAAAGAAAAATTGTAATCAAGCACATTGCTTTTCATTTACTCTCATTATTTCTAAACATGTATTTGTAGGTTCCTACTAAAGTGCTCAGAATTCGGACGATATTCACGTGATCGGCTAAGGTCGCCGACCAGCCGGTCATTATGAAGACCACCAAGAGCCAGTCATTGTGTTGTTGAGGAGTTTACTTCTGAGCAGACGCGCATCTTTGTCGTTCGCTTTGGCCATGTTTGTTTTTGTCAGAGTTTGCAAAACACAGGGAAAAAATCACCCAGACAACAGATGGAAGAGGAGACAGCATTCTGAGCTCAGGTAGGAGCAGCAGGAAATCAGTGTGAGAACAGCGGCTGAAAGAGCTCCATAACCGGCAGCCAGCTGCGCCTCCCTCTGGAGCCAAGGAACCAGAGCGGCAGATCCCTGGACAGACAGCGCACCGAGGCAGGGAGAGAAGGCAGCTCCAAAGGAGAGGGAGCAGCACAGCAGAAGTTCTGATATGTGTACCCGGGGTGGAGAGGGGCTACAGCTGACTGAGAAAAGGACAGCAGTACGTTGGAGAAGCCAGTCAGGAAAAATGAGCAGGGAGAGGCTACAGCTAGCCAAGGCTAACCTCTAGAGCAGGCATGTCAAAAGTCGGTCCTCAAGGACCAATGTCCTGCAGGTTTTAGATGTTTCTCTGCTTTAGCACAGCTGCTTCTGGTGGCAGTTCAGAAAAAGCCTCAATGAAAATTGATAGCTTTAAAAGTTAAAAACAGCTGGCACAGATAACAGGGAGCAGTCATGAATCTAAAGCGAACGCTGAGTGAGCTGTAAGTGCAGGCAAACAAGCTTTTCATTGTTTCTGTGGTAACAACAACAACAACTTTACAACATCCGGCAGGGTGACTAACTCTCTCCTTATGTTTCCAGAAGGAGAACACAGAGGCCTCTGCAACAAGCAAATCCTGCTGAAATATTTGGAAACAGAAAAGGACCGTTGCCAACTTTTTCTGATGCAAGTGAGATTATTTCTACTGAAATAAAGAGACTGTTGGATCACATAACCAGCAGCTTCATATGAGCTCATCCCTTTGTACCTGCCATTTGTTATCTGCACGCTCTTTAACTATTTGCCAAATTTACACCTCTAAACTTTCTATTTATTTCAAAAATAACAAGAAATGTAGGTATATTACAAATTTGAGACGTTTATAATGGTCAATGATAACTTATATCATTAGAGACAATATTAAACAGAAACAAGAGCTTGCCAAAGGTTCCAAGGTCCACAATGAATGTGTAAAAACTGGCACAGAGGGGATGCACATGCAATCTTTGATTGTTGCATATTTGCATCAGTGGGCATCAAGGGGTCAAAAGCAGAAAAATAAAAATAAAAGACTATTTTTTCCAACTTAATATTGGATGACATTTGCAAATCTGACCCCAATATTAGAAAAAGTTAAAAGCTACCTTTAGTCATATTCTAATGTAAGCTGTGCAAAAGAAGCTACAAATATTGTCCTCAGGTCATTATTACCCAACAGCCAAACTGCACTCAAATCAAACCACAAATATGTAAAATATGCTTTATCTGTCTCTAAGAAGTCAGTAGCAGACATAAACATGACAAGACGCGGCGTCTTCTCCAGCAGAATGCACTGTTTGGATATGGCAGCCATGGGATGGCGCTAAAGATTAATTTCTAGAAATATGGGAACACAAAGAATCTCATGATTGAAATTTAGTGATTAATGGCTTTAGAAGACGGCTCTAAAAAGTAGTTTTAAATAAAAGTCCTTGCAAAACATTGAATATAAATAACTAAATGATCTAAACCTTCAATATATTTTTAAATATAACAGCAACTTTTAATACAGATGGGGCTCAATCTTCAAAGATTCCAAATAAGAGGAGCTGATTTGCTGCAGCTTTTTATTTCTTTTTTTTTTGAAAATGCAATGAGTGGGTGTGTTACAAGAGATCTACAAAGGTTGCTGCACAAATGTTAAAACGTAGAAACCGGTTTGGTTTCGCCCATTAAAATGAGCAGATTACATGTTACCTGTGGTTTGAAAGCAGCAGTAAATAAAATCTAAGGTTCTAAGTCAGTTTGAGGTAATATTGATAAAAATGGTTTTGAAAAATAATAGTCACAATGCTAAAAATATTTTACAGAATGCTTTACATAGGTAGCCTATGTCATAGTACCGCACACAAAAGTAAATATAAAATGATGAAATGACCCGTGTCAATAACGTTACGGTTTAATATTTTAATAACCATGTACATGTAAAGCAGCTTGCTAAATTTAAGTTTGCAGATTTTCTGCAAAAACCCATACTGTTTACAAAATGTTCTGCACCAACAGAGGCAGTTGCGGACCGGACCACAAGGCAAAGGAAGACGCTAACTATCGCAGAAAAAGTTACGCTTCTGGACAGGCTTAATGAGGGAACCTATGCGGCTGTACGTCGCAATTATAGAATTAATTAATGTTCCGTTCGTTCCAGAAAGAATGAGGAAAATTACATAAGGATGACAGCAGCAATACATTTTAATAAGGACGCAAAAAGGGTTGCAACTATCCGCAACAAGATCATGGTAAGGATGGAGTCTGCATTAGCTTTGTGAATTATGACTGCAGAAAAAAGAACATTAAACTGGATATGAACGTTATCTGTACAAATACTAGAACACTATATCAAACTGACAGCAATGACATTTATGATAGGGAAGAGGAGGAGGATGTAGATACCTGGCAATCAATGACTGCTGTCCTCCTAGTAGCAAGCTCATTTAATGCTGGCTAAGGCTGGTTTTAAAACTTTAAGAAACTCTTTGGACTTAAAAATGTTTCTTGGAGAGACCGCCTCCGTCAATACTGCTAGAACAGAAGCGTTCATGAAAAAAAAAAATTGAGGAAGGAGGATATAAGCCTGAATACGTTTTTAATAATAACTGTAAAAAATTACTACCGATTTTGTCTATCATGGGTTCTTTATGGAACATAACCCCCTAAAAAACAAGGGTTCACTGTAATGAAGAAGAATCAGTTAAGGAAGGTTGGCAGAAGCTCTCTCTTAAATTATAAACACAAATCACTTTGCCCCCCCTTTGAAGATCTGCTCTGCACATAAAAACAGATTTGCACCCGTTTAAAGATTCACACGTTTTAAAGATCAAGTCCATGGTGAGCTCAATGTCCGAAATCTTCAGAACATATTTATGTTCTTTTTAGATTAATTAAATCTGTATAGATACAAAACGAGGCCTGTGGCTTGCAAATTGCAGTGTTAAACTCTGACTTTGTTTTTAAGAGCTGGTTAAAAACCCAATGCTTTGCAATAATCCATAATATTATGTTGACACCATCCATCTTACCGAAATGACAACAGTGGATTCAGACAAAAATCTTGGCAAGTGCGTCTGCGCCAGCGCTGGCGATGAAGGGCTGTGAAGGATGGAAGGCCACGTCATGAATGGCCTCGTCGTACTTCTTCCTGTGTGCGGTTATTTCCTGCACGCACGTCCTGTTGTCCAGCATCCACAGACGCACTGAGCAGTCGTGGCCTGCAGGAGGGAAGGAGCAGGTGAAAGGAGGGAATTGTTTGATAACCTTACTTTAAAAATCAAAATGTCTCATGCTCATTGCCTCATTTGTTTGTTTTTTTATTTATTAATTTGTACTTTCATGATCTGATTCTGAGAAAAAAGTTAACTGAAAATAATAATAAAGCAAAATGTATTTAAAAAAACAGGACAGTTCTAAAATATTAGGCATTAAAAAATAAGAATTTAAAACCATCTAGTGTATATTAATTAAATTAAAAACTCATATTTACTTCCAGAGACGAGGTAAGTGCCTTTAGGGTCTGTGGTGAGGCATGTCACTGCATCCAAGTGTGCCACCATAGAGTGGACAACTTTACCTGCAAAAAAACAAACAAAAAAAAGAAATCAGCAAGCTTGAATCAATCTTTATCTCCAGAAGATTTATGTTTTGCTTATGAAATAATCAGGCACCAGTCTTGTTGTCCATGAAGCAGATTGTACGGTTCTCATGTGCTGTGATGGAGACGGGCTCCGTCGGGTGACTCACGACGCGATTAATTAGTTCACTGCCTACAAAGAGGACATACGTTCAAATGATTAATTTATGAAGATTATTATTTTTCAGTCTTAACATGTTTCAAAATAAGGGGAGGTCATCTGTATGAAAAATGAAAAGTTTAGAACCTCCTAACATACCATCTTTTGTCTGCGTCTCTAATGCAGCGATGCTCTGTTCCGTGTTGAGGTCGTAGAGCAGCGTCTCACCGCTGTCGAATGAGACCACCATCTGGTTGGGATCGGTGGTTACAAAGGCTACAGAGGTGGGTGTTCCATGTTCTAAAAAACAACAACAAAAAACAGATGAGTGGAAGACTACTGGATAATAAAACACAGGCATACATACATGAAGTTTTATTAATACAATACTATTATGCCTTTACTATCAAAGGCAAATGGGCTGTATAGGCAGTTATGCAGCAGATAGGCACTGACATATAAAAGGAGGGTGGGCTACCAATCACTGCTAAATGTTTAGATTCTATTCATATCAGTAAAAAGTGGAAGACATAAAGTCTGTTAGAAAATGATGCACATCAGGCTTTAAGCTAGCCATCCGTAAATTATATGGCCTTTACTATAAAATGGACACATTGAACAGTCTGTTTTTCTCCCGTAAACTTCACTCAAATGTTTAAAATTCGAGTTGTTGCGCATCCAGTCATCAGCATGATGTGCTGTTTGCAAACTGGTAAGCCTGAAACTTTGAAAAGTTTACGAAAACTCATTGAATGCCTGACAACTATAGGATTATTTTGGAGGTTTTTTGTTCTTTGGGACAATACTGTCCGATAGTGATGGGCTCATCAGGCATCATGAAGCGTTTAGGCACATTTGCAAACTGGATTGATATTGTGTCAATACTGTGTCACTAAATACTGACACCTGCTGGACATTTCAAATTCCTACAGGCAGCCTCTTTGGCAGACGAAACTGACACCGATTTGATGACCTATCATATAATTTAAGCCATTGTTTGCTATAATGTGTTATTTCATATCTATAGTTTGAATTGAAAATATGTTTGATATTTTTAGATGCAATCCATAAATGTGAACATACAACAGGAAAATGTAAGTAAATATGTAAATAAGGATATTTGTGGACTAGGATTTATTTATTCACATTTTTTCCAACATTACTGATAAGGAGTGTGTAAATTTAAGGAATATGAAGAGATGGAAAAAGGGAGAACCAAAGAGAATGCAATCTCCAGCTTCTTCCAGAGCAATCAGATAAGAAATGTGACTTGCATAAAATTTTGTGTTAAAGATTACCAACATTGAATTAGCAATCACTGGTTTCAACCTGGAATTACTGGGAATCTCCAGCAATATTAATTTAAAGTAAGTTATCAATTTAGAACTCTTGGTTTCTTTCCTATTGTTATTTCAATATGTACAAGATCCATTTTTTTTTGTGTTTGAAAGAATTTAATTCCAACTCTGACAGTTAACAATTCCAAGACCAGCAGGGATTATAACCCAAATTAGCCACCCCATGCCTATCGTTCCCTAACAGGAAAGACAACTGTCAATTAACCCTATGAAGCTTTCGCCGCAACGCCACGCAAAGCCTGAAGTTGTGGTACACCAAGGTGTACAACCTATGAAATATTTCTAGCCAAAAGCCTGATGCCTGTTCAAATGTTTTTTGCAGAAACTATAATTCTTATTCATTACATTAAAAATGAAGAAAGCTTGATATGGATCCCACTGTCCAATGAAACATATTACAAATGTTTTAGATTGTGAGGTGCAACCTGTCAAAAATAAACCATTTGATCAAATTCTAATGTATTGAAATAAATGTGTAACGTTTTATAAAAACACGAAAACAAATTCTTAAATAATAAGCTTGAAGGAATACATTGATTTCCATATTGTCACCCGAATATTTTCTATTTCCTTCTGAGCTGTTCCGTTTTAAAAGTCGCTGCAGTTTGCTTTACTGTTTTCCTTTTGTTTGTTTCGCTCTCTATATTTAGCTTCACAAAGCCGATCTCTACCTCTTTCTTTATTAAAGACAGACAGGCAGGGAGATGAGTTCTGAGGACTCCAGAGACGAATCGTGCCATCGGCAGAGCATGAAGCGAGACGATGGTGAACAGAAGAGTAGGTCAGACCCCAAACGCTGTCCTCATGGCCTTCCAGCACGCTGCTCTGGATGCCAGGATCTGAAAGAAGATTGGAGAATATCTTTTAAAAACATCACACACAGCATCGGTTTTCTATACATTATTCAACACCTCTCAAGAAATTCAGACTGCTGTAGTCTTAAGACTAAATTCATATTTTATACACAAAGTGAGAAACAATGTTGTTTTTTCCTTTTGCCCCAGTCTCCTAAATGGACAGCAGATGGCAGGTTTTGTCAGTTACAAAACTACAGTTTGTATTCTATAAGGAAACTAATCTCACTAGATATGTAACCATGATTTTTAACAAGGTTTTTCTCTAAATCAAAAGTTTTCTTTAGTCTACAAAATTTCCATTTTAAATTAAACTGCATCTCCAGGTCCACACTAAAAATGTTTCTGTATTTTTTTTTTTAGAAGATTCGTCTGTAGAAGACAGATGATGGAGTAAGGAATGATATATGAAAACTCAAACATAAAGCTTAATCTAGCAGCGTTAGAATAAAAATTTCTCTTGGGAAAATCAAAAATTGAAAAGCTACCAGTAATCACATTTAATGAATTGTAATGCCATTTATGGCTAACCCTGCTTTACCCATAAAAACATAGAAAATATTTCTACACTTTATAACAAGGCAAAGGGCCCCATAATGATAATGAGGCCATAAAGTCTCACCATAGTTATCATAAGGATCCACGTTCAGGTCAGGCATCTTCCAACACCGGACAGTTCCGTCCAAACCTCCGCTGTAGCAGGACTCCCCATCCTCACTCGTGGTCAGAGACAGGACGGCTCCACTATATCATTATAGGCAAATGGCATTAGATTGTTTAATGGGTGAAAAAAAGCATTTTTACAATTAAAACTCTGGAATTAAACACACCTGTGTGCCCTGAAGGTGTAGATGGGCTCTACGTCCAAAGCTGCGTTCCTGTGAAGGGAAACAACCTGTTAGCATGCGCTTTATACTTCGTAGTAGTCTCTGCTGTTTTAGGTCTTCTATGAGAAAGTATTCAGACATGTTCACTTCAATTCATTTCCTTTGGATTTTTATAAATACCTATGGCAAAAAAATTATTGAAAAAGAGTTAAGTGGAAGGAAAACTATAAATGTTTTACATCTTTTTACAAAAAAGAAAAAACAGGACCCATTACTGATTCCATGCAATAATTAAGTGCAAAAAAAAAAACATATGTTATCAAACAACCTGTCTATATGCAGTTTGAAGACAGCTGTTGTACGAAGGTCTTTGGAACATTGATGAAAATGCAGCAACATAAAGAGTGAGGAATGCAGCATTTAGGTCAAGGAAAAGTTGTGGACGAGTTTAATCTAAGCTTAGGATAAAAACTAAAAAAACATGCTATAACTCTGTAAACCTGCTAGGACATGCATGTCCATCTTAACTAACAGACCTGGTAAGGAGAAGGTTATCAGGTGTTATGGATGAAGTTACAACTTCACTGTTAAGAGATCAGATAATGCCCGTGTTTTAACGCAGACAACCCAACAACCCCCCCCCCCCCCCCCCCCCCCCCCACCCACCCTACCCCCCCCCCCCCCCCCCCACACACACACACACACACACACAGACCCTAGAAGTAGAATAACTTATAAAGGGTCATTGTATTTTCTTCTATTGCGGGGTACTTACTTTTTTGAGTGCATGGCCTTGTTGAGGTTCCACAGTTTTAGTGTACCATCCTCAGATGCAGTGAGCAGCACTGCTTGGTTAGGATGAAACGTCAACGCCCGGATGGCGTCAAAGTGGCTGCGCAGCGTGAAACGAGGATTCCAGGTCTTCTTGAAGTCTTCTCTGTTGTCCTGCATCTGATGAGAAAGAATCCAAAGAGGAGACGTGCATCGTTATCGAATTAGGCTCAGAGTAACCCACTGCAGAGCTTTGACCAGTTCAGGTGCGTATTTACATCTATGGAGAGTTCATTGTCATTGGCAACAGTGAGATCTGCCAGTTCACCCAGATTCATGTCGCCACCTCCAACAGCATCCATAATAAAGACGTCAGAAGAGAATCCCAGAGCACCACCTGCAGGTTGAAGGTAGACAGTACAGCCACGGCTCAATAAATAAAGAACTTTAGAAAGTTGTGCTTTTTTTTTATCCTAGGTGCTTTACTCCCACACAGTGTACCTAGGATACTATTTACAGGTGTAGAAGTAGCCTTGCAAGTTTATCCACCCACCCACACACACAGGTTTAAAACTAAGCAAACTAAATTTACAATTCTGTGTCCAGGCTACATCACCATGTGTAGGAGTATAACGGTGGTACGCTTCTTGCTGAACCTATTAGATGTGAAAGGCTTACCTTCCCCAGAGCGAGCCTGTCCTGATACAGATGGGGGCGGAGATGGTTTAGGAGGAAAGTCCGACATCAGGCCTTGCAGCTTGTTCCTGCGGTTCTCTGAATCCGGCGAGAAGAGAAGAGAGAAAACATCCCGTCATGCCGAAAGGTGGAGAAAATAGGGAGGCCAACGGATGAGACGAATGCAGGGAGCAGAAAAGTAAAAAAAAAAAAAAAGACCCACTACATACCTTAAATATGCATATAAGTCCCTCAACTACTTTAAATCCACTTTTATGGGAAAGAGTGAAACATCTACTAGGTGTATTTATGGTTGAAGGAATGAAATGTGAGCACATAACCAGAGAAGGCAGCATGCTTGATCACCTTTTCAAACTGCACAATAAACATGACAAAGATGGCAGCCACACAGATCTGAAGGTCGTGAAACAGGACAGAGAGACAGGCAGTTGGGAAAAAGAGGCTGGTTTTATTGACGAGAAAAGATGCGGAGACACAACAGGACGTAGGAGGTAAAAAGGTGAGCAGGTGGAGGCAGAGAAGACAGTCGGCAGTGATCCTGGCAGTGCTGACAATTATGGTAGCGGCGTACCTATCTCCCGTCCATCACCCGAGATCCGGGCCTCTCCCGCCCCCTCCCCATCCTCCCCTGAGCCCAGAAAGTCAAATTCATTCAGGGCGTCCTCTGAGTCATCTTCGTCCTCCTCATCTTCAGGGTCCAGATCTGTGGTCATGGGCTCTGAACTTATCTGTACAGGGGAAGAAGAAAAAAAAAATAGCATCACAAACAGCTCATTGTAACAGCATCAATCAGTTTCAACTCATTGATCTCACCTTTACACGGGATTTTTTGTTTTTGCACGGGCCGTCAATGCAATCGGTAGCAATGCCTTGGAAATCATCTTCTTCATCACTGTCTTCCTCGTCATCATCCTCACAGCCATGAAGGAAGGGGATCTTATCGAGCACAGAGCTGCCCCCACTTTCCTTTGAGCATTCTTTACCCGCATTTCTGTTAGTAAAAAAGTTAAGTATTAAAATTTAACACTGCAAAAAAATATCATAAATGTGTAAAAATGTATGCAAACTAGAGCCCACAAACAAACATTGGTTAGTTAAAATGTTTGAGATAATGTATACCTGTAGCTAAGCTATGGCAGAAAAGAAAGGCCCTGCAGAAAATAGTGAGGGGAGCCAAGTAGCTTGCTAAAATCAGACTGGATCCAATTCTTAGCTGCTGCTGAAAAATGCCTCAGATTATGTTCAAACAGATTTTGAATCAGACAAACAATAGCAAAAAAAAAGGGACCCTTCAATGTAAAAACTTCAATGTATATTCTAAATATAATTCTTAATGACTGTGCTATCAGTCAGATAAAATCAGCAGGACTGACAGGTAAAATATTAAGACTTAAACTTTTCTACATTGTATCCAAACAAACCATTTTCAGTGCTTAAATGTTTGAGCTGCAATGTGAGTTAGTTCTGCTTTATAAAGGTTTTCACCTCATATAAAAATCTAATATTTCGAAATGGTCCTTATAAATATGCTAAATTGTATTGCAGCTGCTAAAGCAGCAGCCGCCATTAGTCCTGTTTTTTTCTGCGTAGCTAGTTCTGTCCAGGCTGCATCTCACCTTAGCACGCTGCTACATTAGTGTATGTAGAACTTTAGGCTAAAAGTAGCATTGAATGTTTCTTCTAAGGACGTTTTAGATATTGTATTTTTCTTGTAAGGGCGGTTTATATTTTCTAAGGATGTCCTGTTGGGGTGTTTTATATCTTAAAAAAAGCAAAGGTGTTTGTTGTTTTTTTTTTGTCTTTGTTTTATCTGAGTCAGGATCCTATTTTAAACAAAGCTGAATTCAGAAATCCCAGGATAAGAGATAAAGCCAGAAACTACAGCGTGATCAGTGCATCTGTTCCACGAAGGTCAACCCAAGCTGGTCCAGCCATCTCAAGCCAGGTCAAAGTAATCAAGCTAAATGGAGGTCTGTCTTTTTCTTCAACAGACCCTGAGATCACAGATTGACTGTTTAAAAAAACAATAGCGCATCAACTATGATGTCTAAACAGCCTAACAGACACATTTCCAAGCGAGTTTAAGTGTCATGATTCAAGAAGTTACTCAAATGAACTACTAACCTAAAAATGAGCAGTGGAACCCCGTATGTTACAGTACATAGAATATTGAGTACTTCATGAAAGTTTATTAGAGTGAAAAACTTTATTAAACAGCAGATATCATATTTATCTTTTTGTTACATCATTCTGTTATCCCCATAATTATATCTTACCAATAACATTAGAGAATCAAGTATCAAAGACGCTTCTTTTGTGATGAGTAGCCTACTTCGTGTTGTTATGTAAAATATTGTCGAATCCCTCCTTGATTCAGTTGAATTTTCCGGACTTATCGCTTAACTTGGTTAAGTAACATAGGGCCACAAAGCAGGGTTACTGGGTTATCGATACAACTTAAGGCTTAACTCTTGACTTTCCGATACCACAAAGCTGGATTCATTTTTTGTGAGGCTAGTCACCATGGTAACATACTCTGCCTTTCACTGAAGAACCAATTTAATTCAGAGCGCAAAAACACTAACAAAACAACGTCACGACAAAAGAACTTGCAAACAAACAAAAAATGATAATGTGTAATCAATCCAGGAAGAAATTCCTTGTCCAAAAAAAAAAAAAAAAAAAAAAAAAAAACATATCGAACTTTTAAGGATGGCTTTTTCTTTGTTTTTTTTTTTTTGCCATTTTCAAAAGATTTCCAGGATGTCAAAGACCCAAGGGAGCCCTGAAATAATGTTTTGAATTTAGAAGAGAAGTTGTTGTTTTTTTCTTTTTTTAGGGTGATAGGATGAGGAGCTCAGTCATCCAGGGAGGACTCAGAGTAGAGCCGCTGCTCCTCAATGTTGAGAGGAGCCAGTTGAGGTGGCTCAGGCACTTTGTTAGGATGCCTCCTGGATACCTCAACTGGTGAGGTGTTCCGGGTATGTCCCACTGGAAAAAGACCCAGAGAAACATCCAGGACACACTGGAGGGACTATGTTTCTCGACTGGCCTCCAGAGGAGCTTGCCCAAGTGGCTGGGGAGAGGGATGTCTGTGCCTCCCTACTGAAGCTGCTACCCGCGTGACCCGACCACGGATAAGCAGCAGAGGATGGAAGTTTGTGTTGTTTTGTCTGTATGTATGTAGTGCATGATGTATGACTCTAAAGTACCACACTTCATCAATAAAACAATTGCTGACAGAAACTTGGGATTTGTTTTGCATCAGATTCCCTGATGATTAGATGGTCCCCGGAAAAGGACACAGTTTCTCAGGCATTATAATGTGTGCATTTACAACTCATACGTCACTTTTGCTAGCAGCTGCAGCAGTAAAGAGGACTCACTTCTTAATTTGTTCTTCGATTTGTCTGACCAACAAGGATTCTCCAGCTGCTCGAGGTTCTGGTTCTGGACAGCTTTCGCTTGGTGGGGGCCCATTAGCCTCTGGGCTGCTCCTCCCAAGCAGGGACCGCACTCGTTTAGAGCGCATGTCCAGGATGGTATCTGAATAACCCACTTCCTCCAAGTACCTGCATTATGGGGGCAGGGGAACAAAACATCCATCAGGATGGTTTATAAATCAACACAAATGTCCTTGAATCATTTGTGTCTCCTTGATGTAAAGTCATGACTTACTTGCGTAGTAGCTGACGGCCCTCTTTCCAGGACATCTGATTGGCTGGCTCAGAGTCCATCTCAGCTGGTCCGTTGGGAACTAAAGAAAATAAAGTATGTTGTAATGTAGATCACATAGTTTATCCAAATAAACTGAATAAGTTAAAGGAATACCTTGATCTGCCTCCATCTCAGGCTTCTTGTCTCCAGGACTCTGGTCATTTCCTGATTTCAGCTTTTGATGTTTAGCCCTGGATGTCCAACAATAAACCACAAGAGCAATATTAGAGGAAATAATACTCCTTCTGTAAAATATTATGACTTTTAGAGAAATGCAAAGACATCCTAAAAGCTGCAAAGGATACAAAGAGATCAGATTATTGTTATGTCCTTCACCTTTCTTGTTTGAGGGCGTACTCCAACATTTTGATCCGCCTCACCAGGTCCTGTTTCATGTTTTCCTGGCCTTTCCTCTCACCCTGCAGGAATGCCACCTGAGCCTGAAACACATGAGAAGGCAATAAACCAAACAGACCAAATTCTGTCAGATAAATGTACTGTTTAAAATGCATGCATAAAAAAAAACTAAGTTTACTAACAAAAATATTTAGTTAAAAACAAAAAATCATTTGAGCAGTAGTATAACTACATCCTGAATACAAAAAATACAAAATACAACAAAAAAAAAGAAACAAACTAATATAAAAAAAATCACAATGAAACTAAATAGTAAAAGAAACAAATCAAATCAACCCTTGGCAAAGACATGGATCATTTGGGCCAAAATCATATTTTGCTATAAATGCAATAATTTTCTCCAGCTGAAACAATGAGGAGAATAAAAAAAAAAGAAATTAAAAATGACAAGCATTTAAAACACATTTTCGCATAAAGCCAGAGGAATAAGTCAAAGGGTGTTGAGGGGAGCTATTTTATACCATTGCTGGCAAAGGTCTGATTGCACAGCTGCAGGAGAGTAAAAACAAGAAACAGACCAGCAGAATTCAAACACTCTTGTAAGACACATCCTTCCCTTCTCGTTTCCTGTCCGTTTCCTTCCTCCATTATCATTTAACTCCAAACTTAAGGAAAGAGTTTTCTTTTTTTTTTACAGCCCATTCTGTCCATTTATCAAACACGGGGATTTGAGAGGAAACAGCAACATTATAAGGTTTCCTATTTCAAGGCAAGATAGCTTTAAAGGCTTTTCAGCAGGTGGTTGGGCAGAGTTCACTGCATTACTTTAGGCTTTACAGATCTTGGCCTCTTTTCCAAAGAATTAGTGTAAGAAAATATGATTCCAAATAAAAGTGGGTTAAAAAGCTATAACCCAGTTTCGACTTGAAGTATTTGCAAGCACAGGACTGTGTAATAGCATTGCAAATTTCCTTTCTTTCAATCTCTGTACCAAGTCGAGTCAGAGCATTAATGGAGCTTACTTTACAGCCCATTTCTCCCCCGCTCGCCAAAGTCTGTCCCTGACTCTCTTCCTACACGCAAACTCACTTCTGTAAAAGTAGAGCAGTCTAAAAATCGCTGCCTCATGGGGGACACGTTCGGCCTGCTCCAGACTGCAGACCTTCCGGAAGGCTCACACAAACACAGACAGTGTGTCATGATTAAGAAGGGCCAGTGGAACATGGGCTAATCTGCCGAGCAAACCTTGTTGTTGCCGAGTAATCCCGATTTAAAGCAACGTGGTTTCATTGACTTATCTAAAGGCTTTGGAGGTGACTGACAAAGTTCAGACGTAAACACTGAAGGTATGATCTCTGAAATACAGACATGTCGGTGCAATTTAAAGAGGAACTAAAATGATAAACGGAGGCAGGTTTGGGTAAGAAACCTCTTTATCATAAAGGGACAACCATGCAATAAAATATTTACAGTATTTATATGGGCTCATAATGTCTGGTTGCTGTTAGCAGCATGTTTGATGACCTGTTTTGCAATAGATGGAAAATGGTTTCCACATTAACCCAAGCAGAGGGCTGTTTGAGACATCATTGGGTTTGAAAAGGTAACTTCACAAATAATAATAATAATAATAATAATGACCACAGTGGGGAAGAGGGGACTTTGAGACACATAAATGACATTGACCCAGTCCTGTTCTCAATCCATCTCAAAAGGCATGCCAAAGATTGTTCTGACAAGTAAATGCAGATATCAACTCGCCAAGTTCATCACTTCTAAATGATCCTATTCACCATTGGTTTTCCCGATTTCCAACTCTCAGGAATCTTTCCACTTCACCCAGAAAGAGCAGGATACAGGTTTTCACTCCCACTAACACAACAGACAGGCCCCTACCTGCCCTCATTCCCTGATAACCAGCCCAGCAGTCCAACACTCTGCTCCTTGTTTCATACTGGCAACCTCAGGCCTTCAAACCACAATACCGACCGACTCACAGGCGATTGTACGGATCCAATTCATTCATATGTAATTTCAGGCTGGCTTCAGTATAGATACAACTTTTAGAAAATGAAAAAAACCTCTCCTTTAGAAGAATAAAAGTGAGATGCTATTTGCACATCACTTTCATTTGTTTTGTTTGGGGTTTTTTTAAGTTTAATGAACACTGAAAGGAATGTAACAGAATTATACCTTTCTTTACTACTATTTGAAAAGACATTAAAACATTTTTTTGGATAGGGCAATTTTGATCCGGATCTCACTACTACAACTTTATAATCAAAATAAAAGACTAAATATTTTCCTTAAATTTTCATTGAATAAGCAGTGTTTCTGTTTTATTCTGTTTATGCAATAGTAGTTACTGTACTTTTCCAGATCTCCATGTTGTTAGATCATTATCTCAGTTGGTTGATCATCCTTTGATAACAGCAAGGAGCCTCTACCAGAGGTGGGTAGTAATTAGCTACACTTAGTTACATTTACCCGAGTAACTTAAAAAATTTTGTTTTACTGTATTGTACCTTAACTTGAATAAAAATAGTATGCAGTATCACTATTCTTACTTGAATAAAATGTCTGGATACTCTACCCATCATGAGTTATGTTACTCAGTGAAGAAAGAGCTTGTTTTAAACAAAAATGTGCCAGAGACGAGATACTTTTATTTTTGTAATCAATCCTATTGGTTGTATCTTACTTTCTATCTGCTGCTTCATTTGGAGGTCCAGTGAAAATCCAATAAACAGTCCACAGCATCTTGTTATTGGAAGCAACGTAACCTATTCAAACCTCTTGCATTACATACTGCAAGAGATTACTTGACAATTTTATGACAAAATACATTAGAAAATATCTATTGAAAAGTGTTTCACCTGAAATTGTGATAGCATAATTACTGTATGCCATATATTTTTTTATTTTATTCTTTGAAACAACATAATTTGCGTATAGCCTTCTGTTTTGTAACTTTATACCATCATGTTTTAATCTTAATTTAGATGTTATGATCATGAGGACAAGTAAATTAGTTACTCTTACTTGATACATTTTTTGGACAGCTACTTTTTACTTTTACTCATGTAAACCTATGATGAAGTACTACTACTCCTACCTGGTTACGATTATTGGGTACTCTACCCAACTCTGGCCTCTACTAACACAGCTTAAGCTAGTCGTTTGGTTAGAGAAAACAGTGACAAACACAACAACACTGAAGAGATTTCAGATCCACTGACATATTATGCCAAATGGACCTGAATATTTTTTCTTTGAGTTTGTTTTAAATCAGCTAAAACTCGGATTCATCTCTATAGCCATTAGCCCTCAACCTCTTTAAGAATTTCTTTCCATTCCCACATGTTAAAATTTGGCATCTTTGTTTCTAGCAAGGAAACCTACAGCTTCTAATTTATGTGATACGTGTCATGATACTTGGGTCACAATACAACATTATCACAATACTGCAAATCACAATATAATGTGATATGTTACCCTGCTATCAAAATTAAATGTACAGATAAAAAAGTGCTGTATGTGTTCAGCAGAAGATATTGATCATTTAGTTATTTTGGTATCCACATTGTTTGGGGTTCAATTCAGTCCATGTTTTCCACTGTGACTGTGTCAACAACAGATATGGCCCTGCGTCACATAGCAAAAGGGCTCCTCTGGGCTATAATGGCGGTGCAGCGGTAGCCCATTTTCCCCATGTTGTTTTATGTAAAAATACTTTTTATTCTATATTAGGAACAAATCGATCTATATTATATCGGATATTTTCCAACAGCCCTACTTTTACCTGCTTGTTCTGGGGGATCTTTGATTATTAAAAAGGACCAGAAAAACTATAACCTGATGAACTAAGATCAGGCAATTAAATGAATAAGCAAAATATTATGAATGTATAATAACAGGTCTCAAAGTACTGGTATATGTGTGAATAGTAATGTACCATAATACAATCTAACATTTAAATTAAAAGTTGAAGCACTGTTAATTAAAGGGCAACAGCATTAGGTTAGCATTAACCAGAGCCCTGCTAACGATGCTGTGCTTCCACTAGCACCTTGGTAAAACTACCAAACCACTCGATGACAAAAGGAACTTTAATGAGAGCACACCTATCCTGCCATCTGATCTCTCTTTCCATTCTATCTTTTCTTTGTTGTGACCCGTTAATGCTGACCTTTCCAAAATACTTTGTCACAAGGACAGCCGGCACAGGTTGGGCCAGTTTTGTTAGCTCTTCTCCTGGAGCTATAGAGAAGGATCAAGAGGAGCTTTTCATCTCTATAGGCCATCTATTTACCTATTTTTATCGCCCTTGAAAAAAAAAAAAAAAAACATAAGCAAACAAGTAGAGCAACAAACCTTTCAGGGACATATAAAAGTGCGCTGGTTAAGTTATGGAAGGCAATACAGCAGGTAGTTGGGCGTAAAAACATAATAAATGTCAAGAAAAGTCTCACAAGGTGCAAAGGTTGACCCTTATCAACAGTATTTTGAGAATGTTTCTATAACTCTTACACTTTCTCATACCGAGCCACGTTAAAACCAGAAATTTGAAGCCATTTTATTGAGATTTAAGAGAAAGCCCAACACAAAATAATGCATATTTTTAAAGTAGTTGGTTCATGCTCTAGATAAAAATCTTTAAAGTATGATTTGCATTTAGAATTCAGCCCCCTTTCAATCTGATACCCCTAAATAAATCCTCTCCTGGTGTGAGGATTAGGTTATGAAACAATATTCAAAAATGTAATTATCTACATGAGATCTGTATAAGATCCATCTTTAGAAAATGGAAACAAGATTTTGCAATTCAAGCAAACTCAATTGGATGTGCAAGGAGAGGCCGGTAAGTAGCCAGAGTTTTTGACAGGAAAGCTTCTAATTGTGCCCTCTAAAAAGCTGACATTGGGAGAGGAAAGCATTGGGTTTCAAAAAGCTATAACCTATATAAGCAACGTATAAGAATTTGTGTTACGGGTTTGCCAAAAACAATGTAAGGGACACGGCAAACACTCAAAATGTGTACTAGTCAGATGAGACCAACATGAACTTATAAGAAAAAACAGTACATGTAGCAGGAAAAAACAAGCTGGCACATTATGCTAAAAAAAACTATCTCTATGTTTTGAGGACGGATGGCCAGACGGATGGTGCTGAGTACTGGACAATTTTGGAAAACCAGTTTAAGTCTAAGGCGAAGTTTAACTTTCCAGCAAGACAACAACCTTTAACATAGAGCCAAAACTTCCATAGAATCATTTAGATCAAATTAGATTCATATGTTAGAAAGCTCCAGCCAAAGCCTTAACAACAATCCAATTGAGAATCAGAGGCAGAACTTCAAAACTATTTTAAAGGGCGCTTTCCGTCCAACCAGACTAAAAACTGGCTGCCTGTCCAAAGCTGCAAGAAACATAAACAAAGAAACCTCACAGCTGTGACTCCAGCAAAACTTGATGCTACAATATTATGGCAGGGGTTGCATGAATAGAAACTCATGCTACACATTTCATTGTTTTGTTTATACAGATTTGGTTTTTTTTTCTTCATTGATTTTGAAATAATGCGCTACCTGCTATCTGCATCATGGAATTCCAATCAAATGCACTTGTTTGTGTTTATAAGCTCAGAAAAATGTGAAAAAATACCCTGTATCTGAATACTTTGTCAAGGTATTGCATAAAAGAAAATGAAAATGTAAGTAGGTAGAAAGAATGGTTGCAAATATTGCAATGCTTACAAATGGGGTGTGTGTCGAAGCTAAGAGAGTGGAACTATTAATTAGAGATGTACCCAGGGGCCCTAAAGCCCACAGTAAACAGGAACTGAATCTATCTGGGTAACCACTAATCTATTTGCTCAAAGTGACATGGCTAACAAAGAAATAAGATAGAAATATTTTTTATTTCACAAAACTTTTTCAAATGTTTAGCAGTAAGCAACCACCTGTCCTTCCTGCTGCTGTCCTGAGTTTGACATGAGACATCCCACCTGACTCAGAGAGGCGGGGCGACACTAATTACCGGCCTGTCAGTGGAGACAGGACACCACAGGTGGCCTCTTAGATGAACAACACGCTCGCAGAGGGAACACGTAGGGTGGTCTTGCAAAGAAACGCCATGCTTCAAAGATGTCAAATAAAAGTTTCACAGCTTGCAAACAGAAAGTCTATATTCTCTGTTTGATAGTCATGTTTCTTCTTTTTTTGGTATTTTTAAGACATATGTGGTTCATTTATATTACTGAAATTAAGCACACAAGTTGCCACGTGTGACAGCATTTAGGCTAAATATACACACACATACTCCATGTTGTTAATTGTGCAGAATGTAGCCAGCGGGAAAACTAACTGGCATGTTGAGAGCTCTTCAAACATGTTGGCAACAAAAGCCAGAAGCCTGTGGGTGTTAAAATGTAAGCTAGGTCATTTTTTTCCAACCCCACAGTGCAGTGTTCCCTTTTTCATTCCTCCAGCTAAGGACGTTGTGCTAATTGTACCTGTGAAGCCAAATCATGTGACGTAAATACTTACAAGCAAACCCAGCATTAGAACAGCCTGTTGGACATGGCGATGACCCGTTACTGATTTCTGTTCTCAGTTTCTCTTCCTTGTGGCCAGAAAAGAGGCGAGCTCTGGCAGTTTGTTATCGTGGATCCGTATTTTTTAAGATTCCTATTTATAACTATATAGACCTGAATCAGGGGCAATTTGAGAAGCAAACTGTGTTTTTAGATGCTTCAAAAGAACAGTATCTCAAGATGAGATTTTTTTAAAAGGAAAACTGTTCCAAGAGCGGTGCAAAAATGCAATTGCATATATTTCTCCAACTTTTTCTTAGCCTAAATCAGTTTGCCAAGTAAGTTAAACCTTGCCTGGCAAAGCTGCCTCAAATTTATGCAGGATGAGGTTTGTGAAAAGACATTTATCTTTCACATTTGAATAACTGGGACCACCATGGGACTCAGGGTTTGCTTAAGGGCATTTTTATACCCACTGACTCACACATAGGTTGTCCATGACATTTTTACCCATTGAAATCAATGACCTTTCAAGTTCTAGGCCCACTCATCTAACCTAAAGGCAGACGCTGTAAGGATTTGTAAGCTGCTGATCATTTAATATCGACATGTTTTGGCCTAAATTTTCCCCCGCACCAGTGAGTCATTTATGTGCATGCCAGTTCAGGGGTTGGGATTTAATCTGAGCGCTTGCACGACATACAGATATACATTTTACTGAGGATGATTATCATTCTGGGAATCGTGTCTGTTTTTATGTTTACATTTAAGCTGGGGGAGTTTTCTCAACAACTGATAAAAGCTTAAACTTTGACATTTTTACTCCTATAATAGCATAATTTCATAAATAAAATAAGATTATTTAAAGACACTGCAAATTGGGTCGATGTAATTGAGGTATAACAGGGTTTTAAAAAGTTAGTTTTGAAACCTTTAAAAATTTCTGTCATGCTGTTTTTACCCAGTCCTTCCCATGAAATGTCAAAGACTGACCTTCAGATATATGTATCTTTTTTTAGGTTTTATTGAGCATTAAAAAGGCTCCAGTTTGTTGCTGCATACCAACATTCAGCCAGCTTGAAGAATGTAAACACACTTTCCCCATATTTAGTAAAAACAGAAACCTATCCATCTATAAGTATATTTAGTCACTTCCAGCCTGTCATTGTTTGGAAATAGGGATAGGAAAATAACCAATACCTGGCTTTAAAAAAAAGCAGTCATATGTCTTCACATAATATTCATAGAGCTACTATGCCATTCTCTGCTATTGGAAATAGCAAAGGGAAAAGAAAGACTCCCTTTACCCTAAAGCAGGGGTCTTCAACGTTTTCCAGGCCAAGGACCCCCTATTTATATATATTGTATAAAATTGTGTTATATAAAACTGTACCTATAGCCACTCTATTACAGATAAAGTAATGTAACGAAAGTAATTTCTTCCTGGGATTATTAAAGTATTTCTGATTCTGATTCCTGGTTGATGGGACAGGTGTTATGAATGAAACGGCAGAAAGACATCTTCTGCATCTATTTATGTTTACTACAGTGTGTTTAAATCATGTTAAAGTGTATTTAAAGACATTTCAATTAGTGGAAAAAATTGCAGGGGGAATATAAAAAAAAAAGTCTAATCTACTAAAACTTTTGTTACCCCCAGGAAGTTTCTGTTGAAGACCTCCGCTCTAAACTATAGTGACATTTTCTGTTCAGTAAGCTAAACAAACACTTCTACTATGCTTATCTCACTTAACCATAATGCTCTTTTTTGTTTCTGCATTTTTTTATTTTATTTTTTTTCCTACTTGCTTTGATTCTGTTTTATTTTCCGATATTTTATTCATGTAAAGCACTTTGCATTGCCTTTGTACTGAATTGTGCTATACAAATAAACTTGCTTTGCCTTTAAAGAAAGTCATGGCATGGAACAAAAGACTTAATAAGAGACTATTTCCAGTTGTGGAAGAGAGAAAAAACAACAGACAGCCAATATCTTATTAAGATAACCCTGTTTTAAATACATAGGAGAGCTACATGCAGCATGTTTGTTAAAAAAAAAAAGCAGATGGCATGATAAAAGCATTTAATAATCAAATGAAATATTTCAAATTAAAACGTGTCGTTGTAAAAAAAATTATTGTGTTTTGAGCACCACTATAGATCTATCTGCATTTCAAATGAACATTTAGTTAAGTAAGGACATGATCTTATAAAAAAAATAATAATAATAACTCAATAATGGGGTGATTTTAAGGAGGATTTGTTTAATAATCGGTAATTCCTCTGCGTGCAGTTTGGCATGAATGTCTGAAAACATTTTAAATAGCTGTGGCTAGGAGGTGTCTTTAAAAAAGAAAAGAAATCAAAGTATAAGAAAGGAAACCAAAAGTGAATTGTTTACCTCGCCTTTTTGTTTGTCAACTTGCATTTAACCAGCATGAATAAATGCTCGTTAAAACCTTGTTTGTTTAATTTATGAAGGAGAGTGGTAGCAGTTTCCCTTCTTGCTAACATTAAGTGGTACACTTCTTTATATTGTACAGTAATAATGCATCCTGGTCGATGTAATGTGTAGCCCATTAGCATGCTGCCCCTCTGACAATGATTTAAAGGAATATGGGCGCTCGCAGGGCAAAGATTATGATTCTGTAATATATTTTGTTTCATGCTTATTTGGATGGGAGAGTAACAAACGCATGTTTTGTTATTTTTGTTTTTTTAAGAGAGACAAATTTACCCTAAGTTCGTCCCTCTCAGCCTCCCAGCGGTATTTCTCGGCCTGGAAGCGTCCCCACTCGTACTGGATGAAGTGTAGGATCCCGGGAAGCGTCATACCCGAGTCCCCGTCCTGCGCCTCTCGCGGCAGGAACGACCCGGGAACGGCGCCGGCTGCCGCTGCCATTGGCCCGACTATGGCACCCGATGTCGTCTGGCCCGGTGCCGATTTAGGCCCGTTAGGGTTGCGCCCCGCTCCGCTATTGCCGTTACCACCGCCTCCAGAGTTCGGGTTTGGTCCTCCGCCGGATCTGTCCGCCTCCATTTTAACCGTTCAACCTCTCGCCAGGATAGTTAATAGAAACAACAGTCTTTATGAGCAAAAAAAAAAAAAAAGAATTTACAAGAACACCACCCCAAACCCTTTACCAAACCCCGCTGAACACTACAAGCTGCCCTCTATTCTTCCTTTTCTCACACGGTACTGGGCCGAATTACTATTCAGTTGGTAAAATACGACCCTTCCGCTTTCAAACCTTCAGAATAAAAGCTAACCCTAAAACTTTACAGAACATCGTATTTCTTAATTGGTCGTGAACCACTGCAACCGCTTCTAATATATATATTTTTCACAATTATTTAAACAAAAGTATACCAAAATCGGGCTATTTAATACAATGCTTCTTGTAGTTTGGTTGTGACTTTTATTTTGTTTAACCTCTTCCTCGCGTTCGTGCAGGGTTTTAAAAGAGGACGACAAATAACGGGACATGTCTTGTCTATTACACACATAAGCGTGTCACCAATGGGGCATCATTTCCTGCCATTTTGTGAGCAGAATTCCTTTCTGAGATTAGTAAAGCATTATAAGGTCAACAAAAACTTGACTTCCGGTTTCGCTCTCTTTTCACAAACAAATCTTATGTTTTATTCCTCTTATGCACAGTTACATTAAGTCGGTCAAATCAGTGGTTCTCAAACTTTCCGTAACAAGAATAGGCCAAACCAAATTTCAAGCCCTACTTTTTCTTTACATGCATATAAAAGTATTCCCTTTTAATTTTTCCAGTCAAAAAAACCCAAAGAAAACAGAAAAATTGTTTTAGAGAGCTACAGTAACAAACATTGAAAGGGATTTTAGCAGAATGAGGCTTCTGCTACGTAAATATTCATTGAAACCAATAAAACCGAAAAGTCCAAACAAAAAATTTCAAATTGGCATACTAGTAATAGATATGAAGATGAGCAAGTTTAGTTTTTTGCAAATTTTAAAGTAAATTTCTCAGAATGCATGTAGAATCGATAAAATAATCTATTTATTAACTATTTTCTTTTTTTTCCCCTGTCGTCAGAGCCAGACAATTTTTATGAGGGTGGCAAGGCAATAACCAATGTACACTGAGGGGTGGCCGAAAGTAGATAGGCACAAAAACCTCACCGTCAATCTATGCTGTTCCAACACGAACATTAATGAGCAAAACATCAATATTTTGTAAATACAGATAAAGTTTGCTAACAAATTAGCCAATATATTCAAATATTTGTGCTTTCGAGATAAAAGTTATAGTGGATCAAATCTTTTCCATTGACATTACTAACCTACTTTTATCAGTAATGATTCTGCATAAAATTTATAATTTAGAAGTACTAATATCTACAAAAAATTTATTATTTAATAATTTATTATTAAAATAGTTATTTATGTATGATTTCACTGAAAACTCCCAGATGACTTGCAGAGACACATAATTTTCTCTTTACCTCATAAAACACAAAATCTATTTCTGCTTGAGTTCTGTACCTATCATCTTTAATGTTAGTATATTGATGTGCATGATTAACTACTGTGTTTTTGTTGTCAAGTAATTGTTAATAGATGAAAAATTAAAATGTTTAAAATATTCCACTTGAGAGTATTACTGTTGCCAACATCTGAAAGGGAAAAATAGCAGGGGTGGCCACCCCTGGCCCCCCATCTAGCTCCGCCAAACAGACACTGGGGAGAGTCATATGCAACTTAACAAAAACAAGCAGCAAAAATACTGTGGACAAACCCGAGGGAGAACCTGTAATAGCACCTGCAAACAGATATGCATTGGGGGCACCGCCACCGGCCCAGCTCCAGCAATCTGGAGGAGGCAGAGAGGACCTCAGACTCAGTTCACCAGCGGCCATCACGGAGCACAGAGACCAGGAAGACTTCCATGTAGTCAACCAGGCCCCCACCCAGAGGGTCAAAAAGGAAACCCCCCAACAGAGCCCCCCAAAGAGCATAGGGCTGTGGCCCCTGCAGGAACCATGAGCTACACCAATCCATCCCACCAAGGGCCCCGGTCCGACAGACACAGGACAAGGGTCGAAACCCGAGCCCCAAAAGCCCGAGCGCCACCAAACCGCCCCAGCAGAGCCCCCAACCCAGAACATTCAAGAGGGTCAGGCACCCCGGACAGCCCCATGCAGAGGGCCAGCACAGACCCCACCACTGACCAACTCAGTGCCCCGGGAGCCATGGCACACCTGCAGGTTGGAACAAGACCCCGACCCTGCTCAACACACCCACCCCCCTGGGCCTAATGTGTTAGTGTAAGTGGATTTAATGTCTAAGGTGCCATTAAAACACGGGTTGGGTGTCCCATAGGGTGGAGAAAAGAGAACCTGCTAAGAGGGACCGTAGACACCCCCATAGTCCCGAAGCCCTGTGTGGTGAGTGTTTTCTGTGTGCTGGAGCCTGGGGGGGAGAGGGGTAAGGGGGTGCAAATAATATTAACTATTATCAACACTTTACCTTTATTATGATCCCATCAACTTAAAGTGGAATACTGTTTTTTTATTTCCCTTCTAAATTTCTTTATTCCACAACATTATAAATGGCTGTACATAAGAAGAAAAAGGAAACTAAATTACTGTGCCATAAAGACAACACAAATAATTAAGGAGGATAAAATAAAATAAGGTGATTATGTTGAAAACAGATACAATTATTATTAAATGACACAATTATAAAAATACAAAAAGAAAAGCTGGACAGAAATCATAACTAATTATGTTTCGATAGAAAAGTCATAGGCTTCTCTAAACAAATAGGTACTTTCCGTTAGGGTTCAGCCCTTTTACAGTGTGCTGGGAATTCTTTCCAGGATAGTGGAGCATAAGAACTAAAAGCCTCTTCTCCTGATTCTGGTTCTGAGTATGGGAGTAGATTTCTGTGAGAAGACCTGAGAGGTCTGGGAGGTTGCAATTAAACAAAGTATGTAATGCATTTTGATGCTAAGCCATTAGAGGATTAATAGACCGATACAGATGTATTTTAAAGCATATTCTCTGAGATAAGAAGAGCATTCTAAAAAACTTAAGAGCTCAGGTTATGTGCTCCACTATCTTAAATTTAGTGAGGACGTTGGCAGCAGTATTCTGGATGAACTGCAGATGTCCTTATAGCAGTAACCAATTCTACTAAGAAGAACACACCAAGTAGTTTCAAGTAGGCTGATATTTAGTCCTTTAATTCTGGTGTTGTGTTTAGGTGATAGAAGGCCAACTTTGTTACTATTATTATGTGCCTCTGTAGGTTCGGACTTGAGTTCATAAGGAGCTACACTCAATTTCTGAGCATTAATCATTTTGTTTTGAGGAGAACATTTGGGCATATCCATGTATTGATTTATTTTAATGCATTTTGTGCAAATGTCTATGTTTCTTTCTCAGTTTTGCAAATGAAAAACTAAGAAAGAAACCCTCATCCAAAATAAACACTCACGTAAAGTACTTTTTCCATGATAAACCAATTTGTTTATGTGAAAACACAGTAAAATAGAAATAAGATGAAGAGATGTAAAAGGTAATTTTAAGAAGATTATATATATGGTTAAAAAATCTGTAATTGTTAAAAATTATGGAGAAAGAACCAGAAGGGGAGAGATAATTTATATTAGATTAAGAACTGGACAAAACTACTTGAATGAGTTTTTGTTTGTACTAGGGAAGAGAAATAATAATTTATGGGAGGGTTGTGAAAGAAAAGAAAATGTGGATCATGTTTTGATGGATTGCATTTCATATGCAACTAAAAGAGAGAGGATGAGGAGCGTAATTATGGAAAAAGGGAGAGAATGGAGTATTAAAGGAATTTTAGGGACAGATGGAGATAGGGAGAAAAATTAATGGTTATTAATAAAGCATTATTATTTTTTATTTTTTTTTTACATAACACAAAAATAAATAAAAAATAGAATATAGTAGGTGGAACTATAGAGCTACACAGTTATGTACAGTAGGTGGCGATATACACCTAAAAGTTTTTTGCAGTCCGCCAATCTAACAAAGAAGAAGAAGAAAAGGTAATTTTGGTGGTGCTTTTATTTTCGAAGGCTAGAGGCCGGAAATGGTTTTGTTGCTCTGAGCGACGAATGCTAAAGGTTTGCTAGCATAGAAGCTAAAGTCGAATGGCAAGGTTTCCTCAATGGAAATATTTAGCTTTAATTAACTGAATACCCCAGAAACGTTATTTTTTTCACTTGTCGTATTTATGACTGATTTCAGTACACAGTTTAGTACAAAGTTTAGTCAATAATTTAAATTTGTCTTTTTCTTTGCTGATACACATTGAGGCAGCTCTGCTGTCTGGCTGAAAACACAATGGCTAATATGATAGAAAATCATCCGCCTGCTTTAGACATTCGGGCATTTTGGATTACGAATGGATGTTATTATTTTCCTAGATTCCTGAGAGAAATGCCTTATAGTCTAACAATATACATTCAAAGAAAGGTGAGTGGTGCTGATAGTTAATTTCATTTGATCTAATAGTCATATGCCGATATTCTACAAAAAAAGGCTCCTCCTTTAACGAATATGAATTTTATAATTAAGAAATAGTGCTTTTCTGTTGCATGAGGAGTTTAGTGAAGTAAGTGCATAAAGGCTTAAAGTATTTAAATCACTTTAAATGAAAAGAGCTTTTTTGGGATGTCATCTGTGTTACTGTTTCTGTTGCAGCCTGTGTCAATTAAAACCGCTGGTAAACAGGAACAATTTCATAGAGATAAAATAAAAATGATTGCACATTTTTGTAATGATAACAATGTAACTGGGCTATAACAAGGAAATGATAAACGGATGTATTGGTTATTACTGGTGAACCACATAACCACCAATAAACAATGTATTCCTTCTGACTTCTGTGTTAAAATGTTGTAAAATATTAACCTAGATTAAAAAGGACTTAGTGTGAATTGTGTTACTATTTTATTTATTTATTATTAATCAGATCTTTTGCTCCCCTTTTTAGACATAGATTCAGAATCAGACATACTTTAATAATCCCAGAGCGAAATTACAGATTTCCCTCTGGAATTAAAGATTGTGACATTTTTGTTAAGTGCTCTCTATTTAATCTTTGATATTTCCTGTAAATTAGGAATAGATCATTAGATCATTAGATCATGTCCTATATATATATATATATATATATATATATATATATATATATATATATATATATATATATATAGTATGAAATTGTGTTATATCAAATTGGTGCTATAGTCACTCAATTACAGATGGAGTAATGTAAAGAAAGTAATTTCTTCCTGGGATTATTAAAGTATTTCTGATTCTGATTCCTTGATGGGACAGGTGTTGTGAATGAAACGGTGCCCAGCCTGAAAGAGCTCCTGTGTGTCGCTGAATGTGTGCATTGGTGACTGAAAGATCTTCTGCCTCCATTTATCTGTTTAATACAGTGTGTTGAATTCATGTTAATGTGGATTTAAAGACATTTCAAAAATAACAGAGGGATATAAAAAACACTCTAATCAACCAAAACTTTTGCAATCTCCATGTAGTACCTCCGCGTTGAAGACCTCTGATCTAATCCATTTCTTCCCATACAGATGCTTGTATATGGTTTTTATAATGGTTTTGTCTATTTCTTCTTTCAGTTTGTCTCCAAATCTGTATTATCTGCCAGACACATAAAGAACACCTACCCTTGAATGCTTTCATTGAGAGTTAAATTCTCCCCCAAAGAAACTCTGAAGATTATCATTTGCCATGCGGATCAGTTTGTGCCAAGGTCTGTTAACGGGTGCCATCATCCTCAACCTCCTCATACTATATTATGTTTCTCGAGCCCAGCAGCAGATGATGGAGAAAAGGAAGGAGCTCGGGAGGGGTTCAAGGAGAGCTGTGCGGCCGGCTTCCCCTTTTGGCGGTGCCTTAGGTGAGCATGGAGGAATGGCTGCCGAGGGACATGGCAGGGGGCCACGAGTGACTGTTCTTCTTCGGGAATTTGAAAACTTTGAGAATTATGTTGGGGATGTAGCCAGTTCCTTCCTCCGTCAACGTCCAGAGCTTCCCTTTCTGGCTGTGGCTGACACGTTTCCATACCCGCCCCTTGTGCTTCCAGAGGGTGCACGGCTTTTGGTTCTCTCTCCCAGCCCCGAACAGCCTCCCCAGGCTCATAGGCCGGAGTTTCACGTTCAGACAGAGTTTGTGCTGTTGGTGCCTGATGGAGTGGAGCTGGAGCAACCAAGAATTTTTGAGAGACTTATTAAAGAGTTGGAAGGTGAAGGGGGAGGACCTGTGAGGTTGGTAGCTGTGCCTGTATTAGCGCGATCTGCAGTGCAGTGTCTTCATCTGCGTGTGAATCTCAAAGAGTGGACTGCCACCTACTCACCGGCCGCCTCAGGGAGCAGTGGGAGTGTGTGCACAGCTTTACAAGGAGATGCGGTAGTCCTGATTCGAACAGAGGACCTTTTTAACCTGTCAGTCCCCCTGGGGCGTCCCCTCTTTCCTGCCCTCTTTGTTCAGACTACTTTGAGGGGCTGGAAGGTCAAGCTGCTAGAGAGCCCTTGTTTCTCTGCAAACCACCGGCCACTTTTCAACTCTGCTCATAATCAGTGGAAGGCCGACACTATACTGAAGGAAGCTACAGGAAGGCTCATGAGAAACTTTGGTTTGAAGCGTCTCCTGCTTCCCGAGGGAAAGGAGCAGTGGTTTGGCTGCACCAAAGAGACTCCTCGCTGCTTTGGCACTGTGCAGGATGACACTCCAGACTACCTGTATTTGGACCGCTGGACTCCTCCGTGCTGTCTGCGAGCGCTGAGAGAAACAACCAAATATGTCATCAATGTCCTGGAGAGCTCCGGCGTGCGTTACTGGCTAGAGGGCGGTTCTCTTCTTGGCGCTGTCCGCCATCAAGATATCATCCCTTGGGATTATGATGTGGACCTGGGTATCTATTTGGAGGACGTGCCCAACTGTGACCACCTGAAGAACCTGGACTCAGGCTCTCTGGTAGATGCTAATGGCTATGTATGGGAGCGGGCTGTGGAGGGTGACTTTTACAGAGTTCAGTACAGTGAGGCGAACCACCTGCATGTGGACCTGTGGCCTTTCTACTCACGCAACAGCGTCATGACTAAAGATACTTGGACAGAGCACAAACAAGACGTAGAGTTCCCAGAACACTTCCTGCAGCCTCTGGTGCCCATGCCCTTTGCTGGCATCACGGCTTATGGCCCCAACAACCAAAGGGCCTTTTTGGAGCTAAAGTTCGGAGAGGGTGTGATTGAGAATCCCCAATATCCCAATCCCATGAAAAAAAGACTGGATAGAAGCAAATTATGAGCGACAGTTGGGGCTCTAAGACTCTTTTATATGTTGCACTGTATTTATTTGTTTACTGAAAAAAAATACCTCAAAAAGTTTTCTTTGAATGATGTGATTTTAGCAAGGTCATAGCTATAACGGTTTGAGTGTAACTAGCATTACAAGCTGCCAATATTGTATTCGAAGCTGCTCTAGGTTTTGTAATGTCAGATTTAATTGTAAAATAACTTAAAGTTTGAATGTTATATCTGTTCTTTAAGAGATGCACACCCTTAAAAAGGCTACTAGTCCGGACACAATTAACAATCATTAACTGGTTCGCTGTATAGTTGACTAAGTGTATTGTATAGCATTAATGTAATGGCTGTGAAGGTAAATTTTTTTTTAAATGTTAAAGCTCTTTATGGTAAAAGTTGTGATTACCTGCAGGTTTTGAAATTTAATGCACCCAATGATCTCAGTTCTGTGGTATTTGTTTTAAAGTCCTTTTAGTGCTGCCCTCGTTGGGTTGAACAACATTGCAGTTGAATTTTCCTGTTGGTTCAAACATTACATGCTGGTAACATCTCTTGAACAAATAAGACTGTTACTCTTCGATGACAAGAAGAGGAGTTGAAGTGTTTGAAAAAAAAAATTTCTACTTCCATATCTTGTGTGATGTTGTAAGCCTGAGGTCCGTCCACTATACTGGCCCCTCTAGAACCGGCCAGAAAGTTGGGTACAGTCGGGAAAAGCCACCCTGAGTATAAAATGTCACCAACACCGTGTCTGCAACATTCAGCGCATCTCGTTTCCATGTAAAATGTTGATGGTCGACATAAACCAGCCTTTAGAGAGCAACATAAAGCTAGCAGCCAATAAGGCTCCGCAAAGCCTTCCTCAACCTCTGGCGTCAAGGAGGTTAAAAAAATCCTCCACCTCCAAAGGTTTGTCCATGACGTAATTTCCAGTGTCAGTCTGCTTGCTGTCCATGCTTTAATAAGGCTAGCTAAGCTAGCTGCCACTTTCTTCCGTCCTGACCACACCGCACAGTTGACATGTCCCCGGTGGTCGCCTGCACTTTTTTACTGTCCCAAAACAATGTCACACTACAGTACACAGACAAATGTCGAGCACTAGGACCAATCGGAAAACTGAAGCCCGCTTCCCTGAGTTTAGACAGCCAGTAAGCTCCTGATTGGCTCACCGTCTTTTCTTGTTTGATTTGCTGTCACTCCTGAGCTCACGTCACAAACATCTGATGCGCCGCTGAATCGGGTCTGTGATTGGATGGTAAAAACGCAGAAGTTAGTTATATTAAAAAATACTTGCATCCCTCCCACTTCTGAACTTAAATTTCATCCATGACCCTTTCTAAACCCCAGCTCCTGATCTCAGTAATTAGCCTTGCAACTTAGAGACTTTCATCACTGTCGGTGGTGTTTTTCTAAATTTATCAGGGCTGTATTTATATGGAGTGAGTTACACTTCAACTTATTTGGCCTTAATTTTCCCCACTGTGTCTTTCTTGTGTGTTATTATTCTAGCATTCTCTCCCCTTTCACATTTCTCTCATACATTGGAATACATTTACAAGAAAATTAAACCTTAAACACAAACTAAACATTATATTATGGAGTCTTACATAGAACATTTTGAGGGAATAGAATAATAGTACCAGGGTAGGGCTGTAACATTGCATAACTATGCCTATATTATTATCGAAAGTTGTTGAAATACTCATACTTATTAAGTTGCATTTTCCTCTTTATGTTCCTTTATTCAAAATTGTCCATCCAGCTACAATTTGTGACAGTTTTGTTAATTCTGCATTCCACAGTGAACACATTTGTTTTTGGTATTGCACATCCTATAAATGATTGTTAGAGCAGGTCGATGTAATCTAGTTACAAACTTGAAAGAGAAAAAAAACAAATAAGTCACGTTTCAAGGGTGAAGCTGGCTAATATTAGAATCAACCAGACTGAAATAGTCACAAAGAAAGCAGAAATTATTAATATATATAAAAAAAAAAATCTGCAATCTGTCTCTCAGTTACCCTGTTTTGTTTATGTTTTTGGCCTTTTCTGTATCTTACAGTTACTTTTCAATTGACAGGATAATATAACTTTTTTATTTTTTAAGCTATGCTTAATTCTGCATTCTTGGTGTATTGTTGTTCCATGCACGGTTTTTTTTTTTTTTTAAGTTTGTTTTGTGTAACAATCTTGTTTAAAATTAAAGAATAAAAGCTTGACTATCTTAAATTCAGAGCATCATACATTTTGAATAATAAAAGCTGCATATGAAGGTATTTTCTTTAAAATGTAGATATTTGTAAACTTTACATGAAGGTGAACTTGCATGTACCATTTACGGAGTTTGTTTACGTTTTTTTTATTTAAGTTTTCCTTAAATAAATGCAATTTTTAGGTTCACTGAGAGCAAGCTTGATTCACCGGTAGAATAGATTGCATAATGCACATGTTCGTAACCATACAGTGCCTTGCAAATGTATGCATACCCCTCAACAGTTGCAGCTACAACTGTATTTTATGATTAAATATTAATAGACAGTAATTTTTTAAAGAGGAAGCAAAATAATGCTTAGGTTTCTGTTTTTTCTAATAAATAATGAAAGGATGATGTTTAGTTGTACTCATTCTGCTATTGTCAATCTAAAACAACTTTACAAATTTAGCGTGAATCTTTACTGCTGTTCAAATAGCTGAATCTCAATTAAATTGAATATAACGCTGATGTTACTATTGACGCTTTAGCTCTGAATATTCTTACATATGAATATGGTTGAGCTAAAAATTTAATTTTCTTTCTATTTAACAAATTAGCGCCGTTTTTTGTTGGTCAGTTTCATTTTAAGATGTTTTTTTATAGGTACAGGTACTTTGCAAGGAATTGCATACAAGTCATATGTCTGGTTTTGTCATTAAATTTTATTTTTTTCTGCATCTTGTTGAATCTTTTCATGTCTTTGGATATTTAGGGTCTGCTTCAGGAATGTAAATGAATATCTTTGGTAAAACCACATGGGTGCTTCTTGGCTTTCAGCCGATATGGTCAGTTTGCTTCAGTTTGTTGGGTAAAAAGCTCCCCTGCATTGCAAGATTTTGCAACCTGTAATAAATAAAGCATTACTTTAAAAGGATAAAGAAATCAATTGTCACTTGAGCTCACATTGGTTGCAATACTTTGGTTCAACAGAGTATTTGAAAAGAACCTTTAAATTTCAAGTCAATCAAACTCACTTGGTCGTATTTTGAGGACTGTGCGCAAATGTTTCATAAACATAGGACCTCCGTGCTTCTTTATGAGCACTAGATGGCACAGTGCACTAAGAAATATTGGAGGTTGTTTATGATCTCAAAACAGGAATGTAACTTTACAGGAACAACATGTAGTTAGGGTTACAAATCAGTCTGCTGAGATGACAACTCTCCCATGTAGAGAGCGATATCTTCGACATAGAGTTCCTAGAGATGTGTGTTTACATTCCTCCTAAATACATGGCTGTGTTTTACACTTGACTGAGGGTGTGAATTGGTTTTAATAGTTTTAGTGATTCAGCACTAAAGTTTTTACAGCATGTCTTTAATAAACATTTGATTAAATGCTTTAAATACTATGATGTTTATCAGGGTTTAGATTCAGAAGACTTTTTGACATAAGGGAAACCAAAAGATTTTTCTCTCAAAAATAGAATGTAATACTTTTCGGCCATTTGATAACAAATCAGGGGATCTGGGGAACTTAAATTGTATTTTTTATTTTTCAAAAGACTAAAGTGTATTTATTTAAAAATAGGTGGTTGAAAACTATTACAACCTTTTTGTTTTTTTCTCTCAGCGATTGAAATCTGATATGCTGCAAACTGTTAAGGGCAAAGAAGGACCAAAGATATTTGATAAAGCCAAGTAGAATTGGTTGTTTTTAAAAAGTTGTTTTTCGCATAGTATGTGCCTGATAAAAATAAGAAAACACAAAGTTAAATGTTCTCATGCTGCTCTCCCTGCTCCTTGTTTTGAATCATTGATGTAATTATTTTATGGGAAATCTATATAAAGCAGAGAGATTGCTACAGATACAGACTGATTTTAATGTTGCCATTAAATTTCTTGCTAGTTTGAGTAAAAGTTGATAAAAATTTATATAAAGAATAAAAAAAGCAACAAACTGATGCAACTTTGCAAACCGAAGCAATCTCCCTGTTGGATATTTTATTCTGGAGATGCTTTCCAATTAAATAAAGGTTAGAGTTCATGACAGCACTGGTCATGAACTTTAACCTTTAATGTGCTAAATGAGACATGTAGTATCTGACATGAAGCTCTTTGGTTTCTTTCAGTTTCTTGAAGCCTTAAAGCAGACTGACTTCAAGGTGAGCTATCTAGCAAACTGACTTGAAAGAGTATTCTTTGTTTTTTTGAACATTTAACATGTTTGTAAGTATGTTTCAGCGTTTTAAACCAACTTAAATTGCTTCGAAAAGGCTAAGGCTGATGAGAAATTCTGTTGTATCCCCTTCAGGAGTAGATAAGGGCTGCTAAAGCCAACTATGGAACTTGGATGTTTTCACCTGGCTAAGGAGAAATTATTTAATTGACAATTTGTCTCTTAATTGCTAAGGAAACAGTTATTCCAACCCTTTGGTTGAGTCTTACTCTATTTTCTATGTTGGTTTGCATCTATGCTTCAGGAGTTTACATCTATTAAAGGCTGCAAAGAGATGTTTTTTTTTTAAATAGATGTAAATCATACCACATTTATTGTCCAGGTACTGCTTAGCATATGGAACTTATAAATAGTAATTTTAAGTACTGTTCAAAACTAAAAAAAAAAAAAAATACTTTTAAAATAAAAGAACAGACACAAGAAATATAAGAAAGAATATTTTACTGTTTATACCAAATGACCGCCATCTCCCAGTACAATTTATTTCTTAATAGTCTTATAATAAACTTGCTGCCACAAACAAATTGATTGAAGAAACCTTCATGTTTTCATTTTAAAATAAAATTAAAACCTAACAGAGAACAGTAAAACTGTATTAAAACATCCCGCATATTTCATCAGATTTCTTTAACATATAAGAGGCTTTACAAGAGAAATGATGAGACCTCAGGTCTGCTGTATATCCAGAAGTCAAAAGATGTGTTGTTTTTGTATTAAATCAATCCTGATAGTTATTTTCACTGAAAAGATTAAATAATTGGGTTGGAAAAACAAGTCAAACTTTTTCAACAAACAAAATGTCTTCTTCAAAGTCTAAATCACACATGCCATTCAGCCTCACCATCATGCACTTCAGAAACAAGCAAAACAAAATATGACAAATCGATTACAGTCTATTTAGGAGGAGCGCTGATTTGGAGTTACTGCCATGTCAAAGCGTATTGGCAGAAAAATCCTTTGGATATGGATTTAAAATAAATATATAATAGATAAAACAAATGATCGTACACATACATGCAGAGGCCTAAAGCTTTCAACCAGAGGTGTTTCCTTTCTGGACATATTTAAAACATAAATCCCATAAGACATTCTTTTAACTGTGTGTTCAACTTAACTGGAAGAGACATCTGGTTTTGCTGCGAGTTTAAAAATGTACAGACAAGTTTGTATTTGAAGGTAACTCGAGAGTTGCATAACGGGCACAGTATGCATACCATACATTATGCATGACGCAATGTCCATCACTCTATTAATACCCACATAAAAAAGATTGTGTAACTCAGGGGTCAGAAAATACAAGCCCCAAATATGAAGCTGTCATTTTTTTTTCTTCATTAGGCTGACATAGATTTTTGGTCTTAAACTACCTGAAGAAAAGGCAGATTTTAAACCTTAGGCTGTGTTGTCTACATAACAAGGTAAAGTCCATCTAGAGTCAAAACACTTGTGCTCTTACATTACAGATTCTGTCCTTTGAAATAAAATTACAGGTTTATTGCTAAACATGTAAAAAACAAAAACAAAAAAAAACAAATAGGACATGTAGTAACAAGCCCCCTCAAAAAAAAAAAAAAAACATCTGTACAATTCACTATATATCATCATGGCCATTTTCAGAAAGATTTAAGGCAAGTGGATCGACTACTTTTTTGCAACATGGGCTTCATCAAGCTTCATCAAGCTTTATTGGATCGTTGCCTCTCTGCAAATGAGAAGATATTACTAAAATAATGTAAATGCAACCCATTACAGTACAATTGAATGATTCCAACAATCTAAAAAAAGAGAAATAGTGCAGATAGTTACAGATTGTACCTTTGGTTACTCTGCAGGAATAACATCATAATCTAAAGAAGAAAGTGCATTTTTCCCTCTATACTATGAATAAATTTGGCCTGGAATCGTTTTTGGCAAGTTAGCCCACCAATTAAACTTTCCCATGTCCATACAGTTAAAAAAAATGATTTAAGATAGTCAAAACAAATGATGAAGAACATCCTTAACTCTTATCAGCAGCTGTGTGTGCTCTACTTTCAGCAGCATGGAGAAAAGCTGCTTTCTCTACACAAACAGCATCACAAATCCCCCCGTTTGGGTAATGATTACAGTAGCATGTCATAGTTTGCAGGTGATCTCTAATCAAAGTGTCTTATTTTAATTGAAAATTCTAAAGTGTTGCCAAACAAAAAGATAAGCTGGAAAAGGGTTGGTCACAAACAGTTGGTCACATTTCTCTATTTAAAACGACTTAAGGACTCTCACTTTAAGATTTAACAACAAAAACAAGAAAACGACTGCATCCGCAGCACAGTTACACTTCAGCAACCCTGCGTTGATGCAAATCGACAGAACTCTCCATCCAGAATGCATGTAGTTCCACTGGATGAAATGTGAAAAAAGCTGTACTTATGTTTAGCCCATTTGGAAAATATTTGATTGCACAATAAATATTTCAATCTAAAATATTTCATATTAACTATAGAAACTATTTTAGGTTCAAATATTGACTCTTTTTTTCCTTACATAAAAAGACAGTTTCGGTCGGAAGAACAATGATGCACAACGGATACGAGAGCAGCAGAGCCTCATATTCATTTTCCAGCATGAATAAATGCACCATCTGCAGTGTTATATCCCCCTAAAAAATTAAATAACCCACTGAGTGTATCATGGTTTCTATTTTGATTTTAGCTGGACAACCCCCCTCCAGAAAAGTGTTTGAGGTCCAAGAGTATTGTTTTGCATTGTAGTGCACATGTCCATCCTCTTTGCTTGGACTCTTTTCTTGAGGTGAAAGGGGGAGTTTAAACTTTCCGTGTGCCGGAAGGTTTGTGAAAGAAAAAAAGTCTCCAGGTAGATTACATGGCTGAGTCTTTCTCGGCAGAAAGGACTGCTTTAGCACCATCTAAGCCTCGTTTATCGATGAGCGGCGAGTTTTCCGGGATTGCAGCAGATTCTATCCTGACCTCCCCGAGCTCCGTTACTCCTTCGTGTTTGGAAGTTTTATCCACGAAGAACTGCAGGAGTCCTGCTCCGAATGCGTCACCCTCCACGTTCAGAATCGTGCAGGTACGGTCACTAAAGAGGGACAAAATTGACAAGAAGATTTAATGCCAGGAACAATCTGAAAAGTGCAAAATGGATTTGCACATATACTTGTTACACTTTTCACTTTTTGTATTTCTAAAACAATGTTGAAAGCCAAATATCATGCACCATTCACCTCAAACCTATGCCCTGATTTGTGGTCTGCTGTATAAAACAAAGTTCTTTGAAGTTTGTGGATGTAATGTTATAAAATGCAGGTTCAAGGGGTACAAATGCTTCTCCGAGACGGTGAATGCAGGTTGTTTACTCACACAAGCCAGTCAACAGCCAGGATGAGAGAGATGTCAGAGGTAGGTAGTCCTATTGCTTCCAGGATAATAGCTAGGGTCAGCACACCACCTGCAGGTATACCTGCTGCTCCGACGCTGGACGCTGTAGCTGTGACCCTAAA